TTTGGCCGCCCCGGAAGCTACCCCCCCCTACCCCCGGGGGGGTGCTTAAGCTACCGCCCCCCTCCCTTGGAGCCGCCCTGCTGGAAGCTCCCACCCCCCTCCCCCCCTTTGTGCCAAAGGGGGGGGGGGCTTGGAAGCTTGCCCCCCCCCCTTGCCCCCTTTGGCCGCCCAGCCCCCGGAGCCTCCGCCCTCCCTTTCGCCGACGATCCAAAATGAACAATCCACGATCGAGGATGGACGATCGACGATCAACCATCGACGATCGAAAATCCCAATCGAATCGCTTGCAATCGATTGCACTCCATTCCACTGCAATCCCCCTCCCCACCTCCCTCCGCTCCCTCCCCTCCCTCCACACCCTTCGTTCCATCTCCTCCCTCCCCTCCCTCTCCTCCCCTCCCTCCCTTCCGTCCTGTCCCTCCCCTGCAATCCAATCGATTGAATCGATTGCAATTCAACCGATTGCAATCCAATCGATTGCAATCCAATGGATTGCAATCGAATCGTTTGCAATCCAATGGATTGCAATCGATTGCAACGCAAGTGTATCATTCAACTCGTCCCGTGCCAACGCCCGGGAACGAAAAATTACCCTGGCGACGTACCCAACCCCTGCGCAAACGCGGGGCGCAAATAGTTTAGGACACTTTATAAGGGGGGCGATGACGGAGCGAGGGTTACATATGTCTGCAGACGGAATTCGGGAGACTCGCAGGCACTGGCTTCAGGACAAGGACTAGATAAAGCTGATTAGTTGCAATCCCTGAGCAACCCTAGCCACTTCGAAAGCGGGGATCTCAGATCGCAGCCCCCCAGGGATGGCGAGGTCTAATTTGGGTCCGCGCGTGGCGTCACTGTGCTGGGCCCCCCAGCAGGCCTCGAAAGTGGCGACAGTTTCACATATCGCAGCCCCCCAGGGATGGCGAGGTCTAATTTGGGTCCGCGCGTGGCGTCACTGTGCTGGGCCCCCCAGCAGGCCTCGAAAGTGGCGACAGTTTCACAGATCGCAGCCCCCCAGGGATGGCGAGGTCAAATTTGGGTCCGCCGTGGCGTCACTGTGCTGGGCCCCCCAGCAGGCCTCGAAAGTGGCGACAGTTTCACAGATCGCAGCCCCCCAGGGATGGCGAGGTCTAATTTGGGTCCGCGCGTGGCGTCACTGTGCTGGGCCCCCCAGCAGGCCTCGAAAGTGGCGACAGTTTCACAGATCGCAGCCCCCCAGGGATGGCGAGGTCTAATTTGGGTCCGCGTGTGGCGTCACTGTGCTGGGCCCCCCAGCAGGCCTCGAAAGTGGCGACAGTTTCACAGATCGCAGCCCCCCAGGGATGGCGAGGTCTAATTTGGGTCCGCCCGTGGCGTCACTGTGCTGGGCCCCCCAGCAGGCCTCGAAAGTGGCGACAGTTTCACAGATCGCAGCCCCCCGCAAGCAAACAGGAGGAGGCAAGAGGGAGACGGGACGGGAAGGAGGAAGTGGAGACCACACTGCCCTATTCAAAACGAATACCCAACCAAGGAGGGTTGGGAAAAATACTATCCCCCCGAAAGTTGCACGAAGTGTAATTCGGAAGACGCCAGCCCGTCGGGTTTGGCAGTGTTCGTGTAAGACGGCGGCCAGCTGGGGGAGGAGGAGGCGGAGGATGGGGGAGGCGGAGGGGGAGGAGGAGGGGGAGGAGGAGGAGGAGGAGGAGGAGGAGGAGGAGGAGGAGAGGAGGAGGAGGAGGAGGAGGAGGAGGAGGACGGACCCAGATAGAAGAGCGCGCCGAGTTCGGGTGACGGTCGTGGTGGGGCGGTGGAAAAGAATTGTGGAGGAGGAGGAGAGGAGGAGGAGGAAGAGGAGGAGGAGGAGGTGGAGAGGAGGAGGAAGAAAAGAAGAGGAGGAGGATGGGGAAACGGAGGAGGAGATCACGAGGAGGAGGAGGAGGATGATGATGATGATGATGATGATGATGATGAGGAGGAGGAGGAGGAGGAAAAAATGGAGGAGGAGGAGGAGAAACCGAGGAGGAGGAGGAGGAGGAGGAAAGGAACGGAAGGAGCGCGGGGGATGACGATGATGATGATGATGATGATGATGATGATGATGACGATGATGACTATGAGGAGGATGAGGAGGACGAGGAAGAGGAGGAGGCAAAAGGAAGAAGAGGAGGAGGGAGAGGGGCGGGAATAAATGGAGGCGAAAGGGAGGGCGATGGCTCCGGGAGCTGGGCGGCCAAAGGGGGGAAGGGAGGGGGGGGCTTCAAGCCCCCCCTTTTGCACCAAGGGAGGGAGGGGGGGGGGCTTCCAAAGCCCCCCCCTTTCAAAGCGGGGGTGTGGCTCACCCCAGCTCCATTAAAAGGAGGGAGGGGGGGGGGTAGCTTGGAAGCCCCCTCCCCCCTTTCCGGCCAGGAAAAGGGAGGGGGGGGGGGTAGCTTCCGAAGCCCCCGCCCTTTCAAAGGGGGGGGGGTGGCTCACCCCGGCTCAACTAGAGGGAGGGAGGGGGGGGTAGCTTGGAAGCCCCCCCCCCCTTTCCGAACCACGAAAAGGGGGGGAGGGGGGGGGGCTTCCGAAGCCCCCCCCCCTTTAGCAAGGAAGGGGGGAGGGGGGTAGCTTCAAGCTGGGGCCCCCCTTTTAGTCTATCGGGCCCCACGCGCGCGCTCTATCATAGGTGGAAGTCGCGGTCCATTGCACGTGGTCTGCATTCTGACTACTGCTAACGTGCGCGTGTTGTGCGATAGCGCGTGCATCACAAGTGAGGTTGCAAAGAAACATCTGGATGATAGCTTGACGAGGCAATACTGTCCATGCAACAAAGGACGAAACGTGAGCAAGGTCGTTCCCCCGAAAAAAAAACACGATTTGCCCGATGTGTGAAAAGGTGTTCGTGAATAGAGTTACGTGGTTCGAGCACTGTCAACATCACTTGGTACCGTATGTGTCTCCCTCCTTTTACATTCGTGAGCCTAGACATCAAGACACCGTCTGGAGGTCGCCACAACTTTTGCCACCTTCTTGGGACAAACTGTACATGCCGCGACGATTGGACACCAACGCTCAATGCCAGGAGAAGGGGAAGAGAAACCAACCTGGCCCAAGTCTTGAACGCTGAGGGACAAATCCAAGAGTTTGTGATGACCAGGACAACGCCAAAACGACCAAGATGGACAAATCACAGGAAGACGAGAATAAGGACGACGCCTGGATCATCATCATCATCATCATCATCATCATCATCATCATCATCATGATCAGGCGAGACATCTTGCAGACGCGATGCATGGATTTATTTTGCTGGATTCTCGTTGCTGACCGTCGCTGTCCATGCGTAGCATACTCGCATGGACACTCGCATGGATTATCGCATGAAGTCCGGCTGGATTCCGCATGGATTTTCCCACCTTTCCAGCGCCTGGATTACATGTGATTTTACATTGCTCTGCAGTGGGAGCAATCCATGCAGAATTTACACAGGAATCTATACAATACCCATTTTTGTTTTTATGTTCTATGGTTCGCGCCGCGGAATCCATGCGCAAATCCACGCCCCGGATGGAGCAAACCCATGCAGTATCCACCCAGAATTCATACTGCAGAATGCCCTGCCTGATCATGATGGAGAACCTCATCGTGCATGCAGCTGGAAGGCATGGTGATGATATTGGAACACGAAGCCATGACCACCGCCATCCTAGACAGGAAACATATATCGTGGTCGACGTCAACAAATCATATCAGGAGTACGCCAAGGCCAGGAAGTCGAACCCGAACAAGAATGATGGATCGCCCGCCTCCCAGTCGATCTACGCAATTCGAGGCGTCTCAGGCACATGCCAGTACAAGGACAGTTCGGTGAGAGTGTAGCGGATGAAGCTCGCCGTCGTGAGGCTGATGACCATGGTAGGGTCAACAGGTCCAGACGCAACGGGCACATGGGTACGAGAGGCAGCAAGATTCCCCACATTCGACCAGCCGAACAATCCGCAGAAGTATCGCATTTTGTTCAGCTTGCACGGAATGATATTGGTGCCAGACGAAGAGAGGCACGCCAAAGAACTAATGGAGGCGCTGCCGAGAACAAATCATCCTCTGCACCAGCTCACGCCGTTGGAGATGCCGACGACATACTACCAGATGAAGGGTCGTGCTCTCAGTCTCAGTGTAGAGACGATCGTGGTGAGCTGGTTCAAGCAACGGGAGGCAGTCTTACAACGAGTCGTGCGCCACATGGCCGCAGGGCGCGTAAGTTGATGCCAAAGGCAGAATGTGTGATTGGAATTTTGGCGTGCGTCCCCGTGCACGATGTTTACCAGCTTGTGGAATGTGATCTTACGCCCTGTAACATCTTCCTCTAAGACTCCACCGCTCTCTCCGGCTCTGTCCTTTCATCCCCTTTCGGCATTCCCGAAAACGACGAGGAGGAAAATAACGTACCTAACTATGTTTGGTACGTTATCTTCCGCTTCCGATGTTTGAGCGCTGGCGGCTGCTGATCAGTCCTGCTAGCAACCATGTGAGACGTGGTTTATGCTACAGGCTGAGTGGTGCGTGTGTGGGACGCAGCCAGTGAACGGGCGTCTTCACGTTTCCTGCCTATCGGAAGCCTTTGCGTCCGGAGAGCCAGGAGATGTGTGGACGCTACGCTAGAGGCTCCGCCCTTCTGTTAGGAGCCCCTAGATTCGAATTCGTGTGCCCTGACTGTTGTGTTCCTCGGCCAGGCCCCCGCGCAGGCAGCAAGCCGCTGCATCAGCCTTCGCGTGTGGCTCCTCGGAGCTGGCAAGCAGACAGGGGTACACCTCCCCCAGGTTCGCAGAGAGCAAACTCGAGTTGGCATGAACTGAATGGGTGAGAGTTCCTCCTCCTCCTCCTCCTCCTCCTCCCACTACCCTAATCCTCATCCTCCCTCCTCCTCCCCCCTCTTCCGTGCTCCTTTCCTCCACACCTCCTCCTCCTCCTTTTCCTACTCCTTCTGCTCGGCCTCCTTTCCTGATCTCTCCTCTTCCTTCTTTTCTTCGCACCCCCCCAGCCTGGGCTCCGCTACAAGGGAGACGCGTGCCAGCGTCTTGCCGCCCTCCACGGGCAACAACTGCGGGCGGAGGAAGCCGCTGTCCGTTGGCGGGCCGGACAGGAAGAGCTAGGCGCGCACGCGTTGCACACCCGACGTCGGCAAGCTGCGCGTGCGTCGTCCCATCCGAATGTCGCGAATCTCAACGCCATTCTGCGAGGACAACTAAACATCGGGTCTTTGGTCGTTGCCATTATTTCAGAACCCCCTCGAAATACCCAACAACTCCCCACAACGAGATCCATAGTCCGTCTTTGCAGCGTTGAGGCGTTGCTAATCAGAATCATCTGTGGATGTGACGTAGCAGGACAATACCAATTGACTTGATCGCTGAGGACAATGTGAAGGTGATGGGCGGGTGGCAACCCAGGTGCTTTCCAGATGTCGAAACGATGATACTGGTGCGTGTGTTCAAAACAGCTGCTATGGGCGAGCGAAGGAACGAGGCTGAAAGTCTATGAGCGGAGCACGCTGGCCAACCACCACGGAACTCCCGCCTTCCCCAAACAATCCTTGGGCGGTCACTGTGGCAAAACCCTGCCAACTCCCTCTGGAGACGACTGCCCGGTAATCATCTGCGAGCGGGACGCTGCCTACCACAGAGTTCACCGCACGGAGCATTTCTTCGGCGGGGCCCTGCACCCCAGGTAGGCGGCACCCTGTGGCCAACCACCAGGACCCACCACCCGTTGTAACTCTTAGGTGAGGCCCCATGGCGGGACCCTGCACCACACGACCCGCCACTTCCATTAAGTCGGGCCTGTCCCTCTACAGGGGGAATGTTCAAAAATAGTGAAAAAATAGTCAGGGGACGATTTTTAAACAATTGTTCTGGAACGTTTGGAATATTTTTAGGGTATTTTGAATTTTTCGTCCAAAATCCCCCTGTGGGGGAACAGGCCCGACCTAACACTTCCAGGCAGTTCGCCGGCCACCGTGGAAGTCACCAGTGGGGCAATGCTTCGGCGTGACTGGCGGGATCCCGTGGCCAGCCATCACGACACCTGCTGCCACCGAGCAACTCATGGGCCTAAAGCGAGACCACCACCGCACCCCCCACGTAGGGGACATCCACCAGAAGCCAATCAAGGGCCCCTCTGGGAAAGCCGCTCAATCTACACATACATGGCGGGTTCCAGAAACCCTGAGTCCAAACATGTCGCCATTTTTTGGGGGCGCATCTTTCCGCTGGCTTCCACCGGCGGAGATTGATTCGTTTTACTTCCGCAACCTTCCGCCGAGGAAGAGATGATAACTCATTCGATCCTCGACGGCGAGGTTGTTTCTGGAACGCCTCACATCCATACACATCCCTGCACGAGAAAATACTTTCATATTTGGGTCGGAGATGCTGGAAGAGCAGGTGATTAAGCCTACCGTCTGGCCACGAGGCACGAGAGGTCATGGGCCACAGGCCACCGAGCGAGAGTCAAGGCGCCACCAGGGAGCCACAACACGAGGAAACAGGCCACATGCCATCGAATTATGGACGTCACGAGGAGGGCCTCAGGGGAAGCTCAACAGAGCATCCCGAGACCAGCAGCCGAGAAAGGTCCTCAGACAATCCACGAGTCAATCCGAAACTTCGCGCGCCAAATGACTCCAAGAGGCCGCCAGACACCCGAAACCAAGTCCAAGAGGCGTCCAGCAGCTTCGAAACGCACATGACTAATACCACAGAGTTGTCATGTCCTCACTGTCCACTCTTCAGAGAAGAAGGGCCGATATGCAACGATGCTATCCTAAACTGCCATCCCTGAATGTCAAATGCTCCAAGAGGGCACATCGAAAAAGCCTGGACATCAGGGCAGGACGTGTATATCTGTTGGTGACCAGTACCTCCGCTCATAGCCTCAAAGTCCAAGGATGGTTCAACCAGTGTCTATGAGGGGTCTGACGGCAGTCGAGTCGATCTGAATTGTCCGCCAGGTACAGGGTGCGATTGTGTGTCTTGTGCCCTCTTTTTCGAGGGCCATGTTGCCCTCGGATGGGTATCATGACGTGCCGCGTGTCCTGCCCACTCGAGCTCGGCTGTAAAAACTGACGCTGTTCAGAGGACACCTCAGGACGGCACCCCTGAACCATCGAAAGAGCCTTCACATGACGCTCAGGAATGTCTCAAGACAGCCCCACATCAGTGTGGCAAACGACCCTCTGACCGCCACCGTCCAACACTGGCACCCTCAACGACTTGGCTATGGGCGTAAGCATTGCCCGCTGGGGGGGGGCCCGACGAGTGCCGCGGGGCGCGGCGAGCGACGCGCGACGCGCTGCCTCCCGCCGCGGCCGGGCACTCGAGGCTCGGCGGCGTGCCGAGCTCGCCATCGCACGGACGTCCATCCCCTGTGCGTTTCTCGGCTTCGTGCGCGTGCTTCTTCGCAAGATGATCCAGGCTGCTCTTCGATGGTCCTCGCCGATGAAGAAGCTGCACACGTCCGAGCGATGCCAAGCGAGGGGGGAGGCGAGAGCCCGAGGCGGCCTCTGGAGACCCAGCCATCCGACCATCGAGTAGGGGATCGACTGCAGAAGTGAGTCACGCCCGAGTTGATTTTCTCATTCGAGCCAACGGAGGGCACGTAGAATGATCCGGCGATCTACGGATTTTTCACGGACGTCGACGAAGCAATCATGCCTGGGGGAAATCAATTTTATCGTCGATCCCCTGCTCGAGATCAGGGTCATCATTTGCTTCGTTTCCGTCGGTTTGTGGCGGCTTCCGTCGGCCAAATTTCAGTTTCCGTCGATGTGGGGGAGCTCACGGAGGTGAGAGGGGGCAGGCCTTCTCAGAAGGTGGCGGGGCTTCTCAGAAGCCTTGCAGACTTCTGAGGAGCCCGCCGTGGCTTCTGAGAAGGCCCAGAAAGCTCCTCGGTGGGAAACCGATGAAGTCAGAGAATCACGCCGCATCGCCGATGCATAGCCGATGCATCGGCGACGTCGGCGTGGAGAAAATCGGCCCCACATCGAGCCGCATAACCCATGCATCGGCGACGCGGCGCCATCCACCGACCCCGTCTGCTTCGACTCCATCTGGGCGGCCTGGAGCCGTCTGAGGAGGCCCGCCCTCGGGGACCTGCTGACCCCGGTCAGTCCAGACCCGGGACCAATCAGACCCTGCACCCAAACCCGGGGTCAGCGCAACCCTGGCTCTGCAAGACCCTGCCAGATCCGGCGCTCTGACTGACCCCCGTTTGCGCTGACCCCCGTCTCCTGAGCCCCGAAAGCCCGGTGGCGGCGGGGCGCCGGCAAAAGAACGCTCGCGGCCCCCGATGTCTGTGTGCCATCCTTGCTCCGCGGCCTCCTTAGGGAGCTCTTTGGCCACTTGGAGCCGTCTTGAGGCGGTCTTGGGGTCTCTTGGAACACCTTGGAAACCATTTCGAAAGATCTTGCGAGATCTGGAGCCATCTTGGAGGCCATCCCAGTGGAGCCCCGTCCCATGAGCTCCGGTACGCGCGCGACCAAGTCCGCGCACGCACTCTACCCGCGGGCTACACCTGGAGCCAAATCCTGGTCAATTTGATCTGGGACACCGCCCTCCCGGCAGCACGTGACCGACCCGACTGCAGCAGGCCATCGTCGACAACGACGTAGCCCTGGACGGCTTCCGCGCGTTGATGCCCTGCCCCGTCCCTTGAGGAAGAGGAGGAGGAGGTGGAGGAGGAGAAGGAGGAAGAGTAGGAGGAGCGCACGTAGCTTGGGAGGAGGAGGAGGAGGAGGAGGAGGAGGAGGAGGAGGAGGAGGAGGAGGAGGAGGAGGAGGTGGTGGTGGGACCAGCCTGGGGAGCCTGTGGGTCATCAGCGTCGTCAAGCAGCTCAACACGCGTCTCGACCCCTGGCTCGCGCTGTCTGCGGCCGTATGCCGCTTGTGGGCCAGGGAGGGCGATCAACCGACCGCCGATCCAGCGCACACTCATAAGAGCACTGGCGCATGGGACTGAGCCTCCTATTGGGGCATCAGAGGACCCCGAGGAGGCGTGAGTCGAACGCACCTCGCATATTTACTGACTAGCGGGGCCCCAACCCCACAAGAGGAAAAGACAAAACCGTACTAGCTCACGATACTGAACCTGACTCGTGCATCACACTGCCTACAGTGCTCGACTCATCAGGGCACTCAAAAACCCTCAAAAGCCACTGGAGGTTTTGGGAGTCGGACCAGGACGAGGTATCAGGCAGAGGCGGGGCAAGCTCCGTACCACAAGACGGATCCCCAGGGAAGGAGGAGGAGGAAGGGAAGGAGAAATCAAAATCTAAACCCGACTCCTGGGCTCCTAGGCTCTGGAGACTCTCTGCATTAGCTTCTCTACTGCTGCTGCTCTCACTCGGGCCCTCACTCGGATTCACTCGCTCCTCTGGAACTCCCCCATCTCCACCAGGCAATCTACGATCGCGCGAGCATGTGGGCCCCGCGCGGGCCCGCCCACCTTCCGCTCCACCTCGGGCATCTTCGAGATGATCGCCAGGATCTCCTCGAGCGTCGGCTGGAGCTGCGGCGAGACCATCAACTCCAAGCGATACCAATCCTTCTTCCACTCCTTCTGACGATAGCATTTCTTCGTGAAACATACGTGCACATGAGGGTACAATACTGTCAGGTCCTTCACCTCGCCAACGTGTTTAAGAATCAGCGGCTTCGCCTGCTCGGGAACTGTACCATCCTTCGCGATCGTCATGCACAACTGGCACCACAACTGAACCCAACTGTGGATCTCCTGCTTCAGCTGGGCGTACTGCTTGGCGGCCTTCAGCGCCTCCTTCTTCTCGTGAATCGTGTGGCCCTTCTCCAAGAGCGACTGCAGCACTGCGTTCTCCTCGGGTAAGAGCAGGCATGACGCCAACGCGCCCTGGTGGCGCCGCACGATATTGTCGATGCCCACAACTGCCTTCGCCGTCGACTTCACCAGCCGCTCGGTCTGGTGATCTAGCCCGGCCCCCGTCACTGCCCGCCTCTGCGGGTGGGGAGCTCCCGCCACTGTCATCGCGCCCTCCATCGGGAGACGAAGCTGGTGGTACGTCGGTGAAAAA